ATAAAAATCAGCCTTTAATAATAATCTAAAAGTTCATATAGCCTCTACTTCAACTAATTTTCCTTCGTCCATATAGATGAATCTTTCGGCATCATTTGACCTTCGGCTATTCAGGCAACCCTTCATAGACACACTTATGAGTAGTGACACCGGAATCAATCCACCAAGTATGTCTAGGTACTTAAAATAAATTAACCTCTGAACAAATCAATGTGAGAAATGTACATTTCTTTACACATTAGCGTGGTATTTGGTACAATCCATTTTCATTTAAGTGTCCCAAGATTCCACAAAATTAACAGTCGGTTGATTCATCCTTTTCAAGCTTTTACTATTTCTTTTGAGTTGGACATGGTGCAACTTTCTTATTCTTTCTTTTTTTGAACTTGTTCTTAGAGATACTAGTCAAGTGAGCACTTTCAGTCATGTCTTACTTCGATCTTTCTTCTTCTTGCGCACAATATGAAATGAGCTCATTTAGAGTCAACTTCTCTTTTTGAAAGTTATAACTGACCTTGAATTGATTGTGTTGTGCAGGAAGAGAAATCAAAACCAAATGCATGAGCAAATCATTAGGTAGCTCACGCTTTAGTGTCTTGAGTTTTGAAGTAATATGAGACATCTCCATGATGTACTCCCGAATATTTCATTTACCTTCATACCTTAGTAAAATTTAGTTCGTCAAAAGCATACTAGTTAGGGCCTATTCGCTTTTTGTAAAGTGTTTTTCAATTTTATCAAGAAATTCATTGGCAATAGTTACCTTATCAGACACAACATCCTTAAATGATTCTGGAATACCACGCTTCATGATCATAAGACTCATGCGGTTTGAATTATCTCACTTATCAAAATTCCTTTTTTATCAGTGAAACTTTTATCTGTGAGTGCAGGGGGGTGTTCAATCCTTAACATAAGATCTAAGGCTATGCAACCAAAAACGATTTGAATGTTCTCTTTTTAGTCCTTAAAGATGGTTCCATTTAGTACGAGAAATAGAGTTGATGTTTGCAGATACTGTGGAAGTAGAAGAGTTAACTGAATAGAGAACAAAAAATCAAAGAAACATGTTTACATTAGAATCTATATTAAACAATTAATTAATTCAAATAATAGTACACCCCATCACCATTGATATTTAGTCTTTGGACAGAAATACCAATTTGTAAGTGGTACTCTTAATGTAGTAATCAAATATTGATAATATCTTATGTCAAACAATAAATATATCTTTACAATTGATTGTCTTGTGCAAGAGGAGAAATCAAAACCTATTCTTCACATAAAAAAAAAAAAAAAAGATTTTACAATTGTCACATATTTATTTCCACAAGTGACTATCCGCATGAATTACAAATACATAGCCTTCCTAATATTTCAAATAAATTAATCTAGACAATAGATATTACTTAGGTAACATGTTGCTTCAATTAATTTATTTAGGATAATTACTAATCCAAAAGAAATTTTAATACCAATATTTGAATTTAATTGTTAATTCCTTATTATTATTATTATTATTATTATTATTTTGTTTTACTAACTAAAAAAAATTAAAAGGTGGACTGAAACAAGACACCGTAGCACCCTGAATTGGCCACTGCAGCGCCCAATAGCAATTGGGGTTGCCCCGCAATGCGTTCAGTCGTAATGCAATGCTGCACTATAGCTGGAAAAATTACCTTAAATCCAAAATTTTGATATCTAGGGTTTAAAATTCACATCCCAAAATTTTATATAACTAAACTACGAATTTCAACCCAAAAAAAATCTTCCTTAATCTTAATGTTTTAACAAAGATTGATTTTGAGCTTAACTTTAAGATAATTTTTATACACAATAAATTACATATGTTGGCCTACATGACAAATCAAATATTTTTTCCAGCCACTTGACCATGTGGCCCTGTCCAACTTTTGTGGGTTTGGCACTCACTTTTCGTGATAAAAAAGTCAAACATTAATTTAATGATTTTAATCTTAGCTAAAAACCATGTTTCCATTAACTTTAGCCTTTATTTAGTATTATTGAATTTGTAATCAACTTTCCTGGCAATGGAAGTCATACACAGAAATGAATGTTTGACAAATATGTCATTTTGATATTCCCATAAATTTTTCTTCGTC